TTATTAAAAGAATCACCCTTTTATTTAAATATATGAAAACAGGAAACCGCTGTTACACAGGTTAATGTAACATTTCCCACTCAATGACTAGTAAAATAATGGCAACTTGCTGTCTGGATAATATTGAATATGGTTCTTCTGAGATACAGTGGGGAAAAAAAGTATTTAGTCAGCCACCAATTGTGCAAGTTCTCCCACTTAAAAAGATGAGAGAGGCCTGTAATTTTCATCATAGGTATACCTCAACTATGAGAGATAAAATGAGAGAAAATAAAATCCAGAAAATCACATTGTAGGATTTTTAAAGAATTTATTTGCAAATTATGGTGGAAAATAAGTATTTGGTCAATAACAAAATTTCATCTCAATACTTTGTTATATACACTTTGTTGGCAATGACAGAGGTCAAACGTTTTCTGTAAGTCTTCACAAGGTTGTCACACACTGTTGCTGGTATTTTGGCGCACAATTGGTGGCTGAATAAATACTTTTTTGCCCCACTGTATATTCATCTGCAGACCCCGCAGCATGGATACTATTGGTTTTTCTTGGAGTAGTGCGTCCGCCACGCTGCGTCGTCGTCTTTTGTGACAGGTGTCAGTGTTAAGGCGCAATACTGCCACCTGGGAGGTCAACCAGATACTGGCGCTGGAGTAGGCTATTTGCGTGACGTGTTATCATAAGTGTCCTGTTCATTTTAAATATCATGGTTATCACCAATACCGGTATATCGTCACACCCTAAATTAACACGATGTCGATATTTCATTAATTGAATATCACGGTTATCGTCAATACCGGTATATCGCGACACCTCTAGTTTACAACACTGTTCCAGAATACTTCAACCCAAATATTCAGATGTGTGCAGCACATTTTATAGAGAACTGTTTACTGATCCTGGTAGAGTAGACTACAATGCCGGCTGTTCTGACTCACAGATTATAAGTAAGTTTTTTATATTTAAAGAGTTTTTATATTTAAAGCAAGTTTTTTGGGCAGTGTGGAGTAGGGCTTGTTGTTTGTCATTTCTCCGATCACAAATGCAGACATGGTTTTATGTTTACGCGGCGCGATGCAACGCAACACGTAAAAAGACAGTATAAGTCATTATAATCCATAATTATGTCCACACTGGATGCAACGAATGCCTCGTTTATAATGGGTTTTCATGTTTTTGAATCATCGCTCCGGCCTGACAGGTCATCATCACAATATGGTAGGGGCGTAACATTTCCGTCACATGCTTGAGGTATTCGGCCAATCATAACGCACTGGATAGCTGGCCAATCACAGCACACCTTGCTTTTCAGAACGATGAGCTTTATAAAAATCGACGCATTTCAGAAAGGCGGGGCATAGAGGAGAAACAATAATGTACAGTATGTGGAAAATGTGTTTTTTAACCTTAAACCGCATAAACACATTTCATTACACCAAATACACAAAATAATGTTCTTTTTAGCTACATCATATGACCCCTTTAAGGATTTAGAGAGGATCTGTAAAGAGGAGTGGATCAAAATCCCTCCTGAGATGTGTGCAAACCTGGTGACCAACTACAAAAAACATCTTACCTCTGTGCTTGCAAAGAAGGGTTTCTGCACCAAGTACTAAGTCATGTTTTGCTTGGGGATCAAATACTTATTTCACTCACTGAAATGTAAATCATTTTTTAACCTTTATATAATGTGTTTTTTCTGGATTTTTTTGGTTGGTATTCTGTCTCTATACGTTAAAATAAACCTGCCATAAAAATTACAGACCCTTAATTTCTTTGCAAGTGGGCAAACTTACAAAATCAGCAGGGGATCAAATAAATATTTTCCCCACTGTATACAGCAAGAATTTATAGGCTATTGTAGTAATTTCCGGGACTGCATGAGAGACATGCACTACCATTCAAAAGTTTGGGGTCAGGAAGATTTTTGAATGAATGAATGATTGAAATGAAATACTTTTTTCAGTAAGGATGCATTAAATTGATCAAAAGTGATAGTAAAGAATTTTTAATTGTTACAAAAAAAATGCTGTTCTTTTGAATTTTATATTAGTCAAAAAAATATTAGCATGGTTTCTGCAAAAATATTAAGCAGCATAACTGTTAATATTCAGTCCTGATAAATCAAGGATATTAAAATGATGTCTGAAGGATCATGTGCCACTTGTGTAATGGATGCTGAAAATTCAGCTTTGCTATCACAGGAATAAATTACATTTTTAAAATATATTAAAATAAAAAACAGTACTAATAACTTTACTGATCAAACTTTTTGATCAAATAAATGCAGCCTTGATTTTCTTTCAAAAGCATTTAAAAATCTTCAAAAAAATTTAGTAATGTATTTTGGGCTTTTTCTGTTAAATTACATTTGAATTTACTCATGTGGTGTAAAGTACAATGTACAGAGAGATACGTGAATACATATTAAATATAGTGTACCATAATTCACTGTCACAGAATCTTAATTCCTACTGTTTTCCGCCCTACACAAGATAGTATAGAGGGGACCAAAAGTTATGTGGAAAGAGGGGGGAGTAGTATAAGGACATGTAGTCCAGGTCATCCACATGAGTTATCATTGTGTTATTCCTTCTGTCAAAACACATTTTTGACCATGTGTATTATTATTATTATTATTAGTAGTAGTAGTAGTAGTGTTGTTGTTGTTGTTGTTGTTGTTGTTATTATTATTATTGATGGGCTTTTGCCTTGTAATAAAGAACTTGAACCCTCTTATTACTTGACATGAGCATGTGTCACTGTGCCAAGACATTAACAAATTATGTTTTTGAAAGCATGTTTTAATGTGCTTTTAAATTAGATACTGAGGGAGTACAGCACCATAACCTTTTTTAAGTGGCAAAGAAACAAATGCTATGAGAAACATTCACACACATTTAATAACAATTAGCCTGAGAATATCCATTAGCCATTCCTCTTGTGCCCACTATAATAGTCAATGTTCCTGTACAGTCTGAAAACTTCACCTTTTTCATAAATTCTTTGTGTACCCTGAGTTACAGATTGAA